TGCGATGGTGGTAATGGTCCTACAATGTCTATGTGAACGTGATCGAAGCGAGCATCAGGCGTAGCGAAAGTGCCAATAGGGGCAGCTACGTGCCTGTGCACTTTTGATAGTTGACATTGTAAGCATTGCTTTACCCACATACGGACATCTTTATTCATGGACGGCCAGACGTATCGTGCAGCGATGAGGCGTAAAGTGGCTGCGATACCAGGATGAGATAAACCATGAAGGGCATCAAAGACGAGATGGCGATAAGCGGAGGGTACGATGGGTCGAGGGAGGCCCGTGGAAGTATCACATAGGATAGTACCTGAGCTAGTAGCTAGGGGTACTTCCCGACACTGAAGGGACGTAGACTGTTGTGCTTCCGTGCATGAAGTATCGTTTGCTTGGGCGGCGGCCATAGCAGGTAGGTCAAGCACTGGCAAAGTAACTGCATTAAGTTGGATACGTGATAAAGCATCAGCAACACAGTTCGACTCGCCTTTGACGTGGCGAAGGTCTGTCGTGAACTGGGAGATATAGTCTAAATGTCTGCACTCTCGTGGTGAGTAGCGGTCAGACTTGGTATGCAGAGCATACGTCAAGGGCTTATGGTCGGTGAATAAGATGAAATTACGACCTTCTACAGCGTGCCGGAAATGTTTGATGGCGCAGTAGGCTGCTAGCAGTTCGCGACCAAAAGCGCTATATCTCGTCTCCGTGGGAGTGAGGCGTCGTGAGAAAAATTCGAGGGGCTGCCAACTACCGGAGATATTCTGTTGCATAACGGCTCCTATGGCGAAATCCGATGCATCAACCGCTATACTAAGCGTGGCTGATGGGTCAGGATGCACGAGAAGTGTGGCTTGAGCTAGGGCCGTTTTGATATCTGAAAATGCAGTACGTGCGGAGTCGTTCCATTCCAGTTTGCGTGAATTACCGCGAAGTAAATCAGTTAACGGTCGTAACTGTTCTGCCGCGTGCGAAATGAAGCGTCGGTAGAAGTTGACCAAACCGAGAAATGCCTTCAGTTCCTTGAGTGTGGACGGTACAGTGTACTCCATTATAGTGCGTACTTTATCCTCACAAGGTAGAATACCCTTATGCTTAATAACATGACCTAAGAATTTTATTTCCTTCTTCCCGAGTTCACACTTGTCGGGGTTGACTATTATTCCATTATCCGAAAGGCACAGGAATAGTAGCGTCAGGTGTTGATAATGTTCATCTACGTTTGATGATGCGATTAGCAGGTCATCAATATAGACGTGAACAAAATCTAGGTCTCGTACAATGCTATCGATAAACCTTTGGAAAGTTTGAGCAGCATTCCGTAATCCAAATGGCATTCGTAGGAACTCAAATAAACCGAAAGGAGTCGTGATGGCAGTTTTCTCTATATCTTCAAGAGCGACTGGGATCTGATGATATGATCGTATCAGATCGATCTTGGAAAAAATTGTCGTGCCCTTGAGTGATGCTGTGATGTCATGTATGTGGGGGATGGGATAGCTATCGAAACGTGTAGCTGTGTTTAACGCTCGGTAGTCTCCGCATGGTCTCCAACTAACCCCATCCTTTTTTCGAACCATGTGGAGAGGTGAGGCCCAAGGACTGTGAGAAGGACGAATAATACCAGTAGCTAGTAAATTGTCGAACTCACGTTTAGCGAAAGCTAATTTGTCCGGTGCCAGTCGGTGAGGTCTTGCCGTGACTGGTGGTCCGCGGGTGACTATGTGGTGTACCACACGATTGGTCACCAATGGAGTCTCCTCGAAAGGTTTAGTTAATTTGGGGAATTTCTGAAATAAAACGTGGAATAAATCGTCACGCGAATGAAATACACCTGTGATTCGGTACGCGTTTGTGTGGGCTTTAGAGCCCATAAAGTTGCTGTTCGACGAAGTATCAATTAGCTGCAGCCTACGTGAATCGACTAGCAATTCATAGTGCTGTAGGAAATCGATACCGAGTATAGCTGTGGGAACATCGGCAATGATGAACGTCCACAGATACTGTCGTCGGTTGCTCAGGTTGACCGTAAGTTGTCGTGTACCATAGGTGGGAATGACTGAGCCATTCGCAGCGCGTAGTCGAAGCATAGTGGCTTGAGACTTACTGTTACCGATAGGTACGACAGAAACTTGGGCACCCGTATCCACAAGGTACCTAGCGTTGGTGCGATAATCGTGCACATAAAATAAACGGCCAACCTGAGGTGAAGTGCCGGCGAGTACGGCCGCATTTACTCGCCGGCTGAGAAGTTTCCCGCCTTGTATGAGCAGGGAGCTCGACAATGACGGGCACCGGCTCCGAAAGCACGGTGGAACCAGCACCAACCTGGACTCGCTTCCGAAACCGCCTTCTGGCGTGGCTTGGAAGATGCCCGCTTGGGGCGAGTCGTTACGGCTTTTCGAGATTGTGACCTGGGTCGGGGGACGTAGGGGGCTGGCACATTTGCGCGGTCTCGGAAACTGAGACGAGTATGGATACATCTGTCCCTATCCCCATGAGCCGGAGGTCGTCTAGCATCGAGATCAACGTTAGAACGGGAAAAACTAGCAACAAAATGGTCGCCTTTGGTGTTAACTCGTGCCAGAATCTTATCTGCTATGAGGGCCACCTTGTTGAGCGGGGTGTCCTCGAGCAGAGCCGTAAGGGTTGGCTGGATACTGACTGGTAAGGCTTCGAACCACAACTCTTTGACTATCTCAGAGTCAGCTGTCATGTTTCCTGCAAGGGATTGCAGGCGCGTGAGGTGGTGGCTCGGCTTAGCATCACCCATAGGGTGACGTGCTAATAGTGTCCTCAATCGTTCCTCTGTTGATGGGAGGAAATGTCGAAGGATGGCATCCTTAAGACGGTCATAAACGTTTGGAACGTTGGGATTGAGGACAACCTCACGGACAGCGGTTAGGTGATCCCCGGGCAATGATTCCAAAGCGTAGGCGTATTTCTGCCTTTGGTTGGTTATGCGGCGGATCTCAAATTGAGATTCCAGTGCCGCGAACCAGACTTCTGGATCATGGGGGATGAAAGGAACCGGTCGGAAACTGATAACCTGTATCTCGGAGTCTATCATATTTATGTTATTCTTATCGTTATCTACCATATTAAGTTGCCAAAATATTATATATTGAAAAAAATCAATACGAATATATGCAACAGATGTGGATAGATAAATAGACTCACCGGATTGATCTGGTTTGGATAATTGGCCAAGTTTGACTTGTGCTCGATGGATTGGGTTACCAGCTGTATTGCGTGTTCCAATAACGGCTCACCAGTTGTAGTGAATGTCGAGTCGTGGACGGACTATGATCACCACTACTATTCGATTACGCGTACAAATATGACTTGGTTCCCTTGATAGCCCGTAAACCAGAAGGCTTTACTAGTCCAGATCAAGTATATTTATTGGCGATCTCGTGGTATCGAAATAATACCGAGACGTGCCAAAGAGTACAGGCGAATAAGCAGTGCGTGAGCAAGCTCGAACCAAACCAGGCGGTATATGGAACAAGAAGTGAAACGGATACAGTTAAACAAATACAGTAAAACAATCTCTGGTACAATTGGTTACAATAATAATAATTGTTTCTATTATTCCAATCGTGTTCTTATCGAGACTGGCCGGTCACTACAAGTACTTGTTTGAAGATAAGCTTAAACAAAATGCAAGAGCTTTGTGATCAGTAAAAATAGTGAACTCTAGGCATTCAATGGAGTGTTGAGAATTCCGTACAGCACAATACATAGCTAGGAGTTCCCTACCGAAAGTGCTGCACCTCAATTTAGCGTCTAGCAACCGATTAGAGAAAAATGACAAAGGTTTCAAGGAGTGGTTAACTCATTGTTATAAAACTCCTCCGTTTGCTGAGTCGGATGCGTCTACGGCGATACTAATGGGCCTCTGAATGTCCTGATGTGCCAGCATGGTTGCCTTCATGATAAGTTCCTTAATTGTGGAGAATGCTTTTCACGCAGTGTCGTCTAGAATCGTGTGCTTGGGAACCAATACCACTACAACACTTGAACTTCCATTCTATGTTACACTTTACGTTCGAGTAGTAAGATTCCCTTCCACGCTTATCCGGTAGTCAGTGACATCAGATGAGGAACAAGTTTCAGTAAGAACTACGAGCCGGAACCAGATAAATACTTCTACGAGTTCGGCTATTTCGCCTTACATTACTGTAAATATACCTGGTTATTTGTTTCACTAAATGGGGTAAGACGGGAAACAATTTTTTTGGTTTCAGTACTTTCCCACAAAAGTGTCGTAACTGACAAGTTTAATTTAAATGGTTCTAATTTAGGAAGGAGAACAGATTATATCGAACGAACAAAATACTTCAAACGGGACAGACAGCGCTATATAGCCAAGCGCTTCTCAAACACAAACTAACGTGCTAAACAAAAATGGACTAGTTAACAAACAAGAGTTCGTTACCCGAGAATCAATAAAATATTTCCAGTTAGGTGGGATCAAACATTTTTCAACAAGAATTTCAGCAACCATTCCAACCAAACAGTCTAGGGGCAAAATTCATATTATGAACCATACCATGATCTTGAGTTTGGTCAGACACGACCTTACTATCCACATTCCGGCAACATGCAACAGTAAGTTAGGTAATAAAGGATACTTCTTTAGCCAGGATCAAATAACAAAAGCCTCGACAAAGAAGACTGAAGAACATAAAGCTTGGTTAACAAGAGACCTCAATATACAAGACAAGAAGGAATAAATAAAAACACTATCCAACAAAATACTATGGAGGGATTTTCAATGTGTTCTTTCCTTTGCAAACATTATTTAAGTTTAAGTAGGTTATTAAAGTACGACTTCTAATTAGATGGACATTGCAGTAATCAAATTCTGAAACACCAAGATGGTCGTGATTCACTTATACTCGAAGGTTTTTTATCACTTCTAGCAGGAAATTGTTAGATGGAAGTACTTCTGTTCATATTTAGCTCAATGTATTTCCTCGAACGACCTTCAGGTGTCAATACTTATCGGCATTTTGAAAAAAAGAGGATGAATGACTTAATGAATTAGGATATCGACATACTTTAAGGACTCTTGCATTGTAGGTGGTGACAGTTCATAGCTAAAACTCTAATACTCAAACCTAATTAAGACTCCATACACTGAATGTCAACATGAGTTTGACATGTGCACCATGAATTTTCCTGTTTATCATTGTTTCGACGGTTTTCTCTAGACTAACTGTTTTCTATCTCAAATTGTTATTACGAAAGATTCTTCATGAATTGTTGCATTAGTGGGATGGTGAGGATTGCCTAACTTGTCGCGGTTAGTTCAGTCTTTCAAGGCCGGTCCCCGATTTCATCGGTTAACAATTTACTGACTTAAGTTACTGCCGTTCTTGGAGTCGCAATGATTGACGATGTATAGTGAATTCAGTAGTAATACAGGATCTTCTTCACGTATGTTTGTGCTTGGGAAGGTTTTATTATCACAGAGACTACTGCTGTCATCCAGGTTTTTGAAGATATCTCCTCGAAAATACTTAAAATACGTTTACTGGGTACGTTATTTTTCGAACGCCTAAATATTTGAGTAGCAAATGAGTTGGAAACGCTAAACAAAAGCATAAGCATTAGAGGAAATTCGAAGGCTCAATCCGACCTTCTGTAGGTGTTTTTGTCCTTCAAATGTCTGTTGTAGAAATAAAAGAGAGAAAGATGCTCTCGACCTGGTTGACGACACCAAAAACGTGTTCATTAATCTTTCGAAGCAGCCTTTATCGGATCAGGTATGGTGTTTTCTGTAGTTTAGAGCAGTTCTAGATAACCAAAATTCATGTTGAGAAGCTCAAAGTTGACTTTCAGCGTGTACTTCACCGGCTCCAAAGAACTCAAGCTGTAAGTCTTCTTCTGAATGCTTTATTTATAGTTTAAACCAGTTTCCAGGGGTGATTTTTTGTAATTTTTTTGTCATTCAGCGTTATGCTAGTTAGTAAATACAGGTAAAGCTCTTTAGGAATAATGACCTTTATTTGCTAAGAAGTCTGGTAGCAGCTTTTATCAATAGTGATTTATTCAGATAATTAACGATCCATAGTTCTGTTTAAGTTTTGTTGCCAGTGTTTTAATACCAGTACAGTAAATCTAAACTATGTTCAGGTCTATACTTGCTGCGAGATTAGGGATACCGTTTAGTTCTTGAGGCCTTTAACGTAACAAATATTCATCCAACGTCCTGACCTTCGTTAGATGACTATCTAAATCAAAGATCCTTCATTTGTGATTGCCCTAGGAACGTGTATATATGTCCAACGCAGTGTGTTTCATTTCTGTTTTTAGAAGACATTATCACTCCTTAAAGGTTTATTAAGATTTAAATTGTTGTAGTCAACCTGTCACACTGATATCTCAGGAGCTCACGGTTTTTTCACAGAAGTCTATAAACAATGGACATAAGTAAATGTTTAGGTTATTTAATCTAGTGGCTAGGACATGAGTTAGTAACAGTATACAAACGGTTGTTTCTATTCAGTGACTACTGGTTTTAAAGTACGGACAAAGGTTATTTTTATGACTTCGGATAAATCAGTTCTGCTGAATAGCCCAGAAAGCTCCCATTTGCACTCATTCAGTAATTAATTGGGGTCCTTATATAGAAAACATGATAGACGATCTAGATATCTAGCTCAAACTTAGTTTATTGACCTCTCCCCTAGTTTTATTCAGTTCCTAGAACGTTGGTACACTATTGCCTACCACTAATCTTTGGTTTTACTTGAATCTAGTGTCTCTCTCCGTAAGATATAGGGTTTTGTGCGTCTGATTTAAAAAAAAAACGCTGAAACAGTATATTTTACCACTGACAGTAGTTTTTTCTAAGTTATGGGATAGTATAAGTGCTTTTAGAGAATTTTAATACAAAGTGATAACTGATTGGGATTCATCAAAAAATTTCGTCGTTATCACTAGTAGTCACCTTTGTCCCCTACGTACTAATTTAGTTGATTTACTCAAATTCAGTTAAATTAACTATAATGGGAGTCCTCTAGTTGACTCAGTACACAAAAAGCAATTATAATGCATAGAAACAATTGGTAAACTATTCTGATCAAACCGAAGGGAAATAACGGTTTGTTCTGCGTTTTTCTGTAAAGTGATGCTGGAGTACCTTCAGACTTTGAGATAAGACGAAATCGTCAATAATTTGGTTTCTAATTTTACACGATTCACAGTTTAGTGTATAAGGTAGTATCTATTTATTGGAAAGCAACATATAAAAAATGATTCAGGCTAAGTGGGTTGAGATTTCCATCAAGCTACCAGGTACGTAATTCGGTTTCGGAAGTGTTTGGTTAGTGATTAAGGTACATAGTAGATGCTGAACGCGGCAGGAATCACTGAGAGTAATTATTGGGGTATAAGACAGCAAACTGCTTGCGGTAGTTCTAATCGTTCATAATTCTCATTTTGTAATGCATTCGCTTTGTATGTTTTCGGGATTAGTGTAGGGTTTGGCTAGTACACATTATCAGAATAACTGACAAATCCCAAAATGTAATATCAGCTAATCTGATTAAAGAAACACTGCAAGACTGTCTAACGTCACGTTGTTATGACTGTAAAACGTACTTGAGTATTGTGTGCCACAGTTAGCACTTATAACCACAGAACTTCACCATTTTAGCAATATATTCATCATTACAGTTTGATGTAGAAAGAATAAAATAATAAATGACGAAATGTTTATAATTCTGGTATATATCATTGTGTCCAAGTATCATAAATACAGTAATTAATAAGCCCTATTGTGTGTGCTTAACAGTATAAAATTTTCTGCAATCTAATGGGGATATCTAAATCATGAAATAAGTGGTTTAACCAGGAAATACTTTATCGGGCTGGATCATTGTATATAAATGTAGTCATATCATAGGAGAAACAATGCATTCTTATGTATGAAATTATGATCACAAAATTTGCTACACGATCTTGTTTGTATAGCTGGCAAATGAAGTTTTCAAGGTTAGGCAAATATCTGTTTCTTAAAACGGGCATAATAATTTTAATTGAAAGTTGTGCAGTCAAAATATAAAAAGGATGGTTATTAATCAATAAATGTGAATGAAATAACAGCTGATAAATTCTGACCAAGAATGTAAAAAACGATAATCATTAAAACCCTTTAGTCAGTGAAATTGAAGCTATCACGACAAACTCGAATTAGGGAAAATTTTGTGCTTATAGTTTTAATCTTAGATTATTATCTCCCAAGGTTTCTGTAACGTTATTAAAGTGCAGTATAGTTCTGTCATTTGAATATTTCATGAAACCAGTTGAAAATTGTGGTAATGTCACTACCATCTGATTCTGGTGTAATTGGACAGAAGTTATAGATTGTGTAAGTACTTGATGTTCTTTGAACATTCTCGTATTCACTAATACCGGAAGATGAAATGAACGATGGACTGTTTTGGTTTTGTTGTTGTATTTAACGAAGAAAAATAACATCCACTTTCAATCACGACCTTTACAAATGTGATGTTTTTTTCTTTGTGGATTTTTTTTCATCGTGACTGGCGGTGTGATAGTGCTCATTTAGATAAATCGTAGACGTACGACTCTCTGAGGGTCAGTACAAGGGGGTATACATAAGGTAAAATGACCCGTGGAGTTGCAGTTAGAAGCAGTCGCATTCTTTAAAACACTAATTCTAGTAGTTTTCAAAATTAAAACAGCCCAGTTATATGTATTCTTTTTAATACCACCATGAAGCTTTTTGTAATCCGAGTTATATTGTACGATTTCTGACTATTCTTTGGTTTAGGAAATCAAAAGGCGATTGCTTACCGAAAGTCGTCCAACTTCCTCACTTGTTGGAGATTTGATTTATTTGGATTCAAACGATACTGATACAGGCCAGTTTATTCAAGCACAAATCTGTGCCTCCCAAGACTATGAAGTTCAGGAATTGGGACTAGCGTTGAATCAGGAGGATCAAATGCGTTCTATAGAGGTGAGTTTTTAAACTCACACTTTTAGCAAACTGGCCTGCAAGTGTTCTGACGATGAATTCCAGTCAGTGTATTTTTTAAAAAGTACTAGTATTATGTAAGAAATGTAAATCTGTAAACTTAGTAATACCGCTTAATTATTTCCTGTCTTATTTACATGAATTTTCTTGTGTACGAAGATGTTTCTGTAAAACTTTTATTTTTATTCCGACTAAGTACAATTTGAGGTTTAATTCATGCATATTTTTCCTTCAATTTTAAAATTAGAGCTTGATAAATCCTCGCATTTAGCTTACGTAGTACTTTATTCATTGACGGATATTTAAAGACATTTTAGTTTTTGGAGGATATAAGTACCACCTCTTATCTGAAAGGCTCATTCTTATTGTGATATCATCACAAAGTATTATTGATTTAACTCATATGTTGGGTTAGGCATCCAAATAAAGTTTTAGATCTTCGCTTTTAGTGATGACGGATCGTTCGGAGCACTGTATATAATTAAAAAATCGCTTTTATTTTACCATGTCCTTTCAATACTTATTTGCTAATATTCGCTATTCTATTAGCAGTAACGTCCAGTCTGTTGGGATGGGCGAGAAAGCTGGTGGTCGAATTTAATTTAAGCTATTTGATATATCTTTCAACTTTCCCCAGCTCTAGGGTCAACAAATGTACTCTTAATACCAATCTATGGAGTAGGGATTATTACAGTGACCCGAAGTTGATACTGCTGAATCCCAATTAGCTTGATTTGTTTTTGTCTTACAGTGTCATTGTTTCTTGATTGTCTTGGTAAAACAAACTAGCCACTTAAGGGTCAATGATTCTGCTGTCTCATTGATTCCAAACTCTTACATTTTGTTATATTATGTGTTGAAAAGAAAATATTTAAGTACAACTATGTAGTGTGAATGTGAGGTAACATGATATTGTTCACCATACTTAGCATTATTGATTTGGAGTTTGATGATTGATTGAATATTTATTTCTTATATGTAGGTGTAATTTTTAGACTACGCATACGATTGCGTGTACTTATTTTTGGTTTCTAAACTATATTTTGTTTGGTTGCAAAATGAAAAATTCTTCGGACGAAAGTTCCTAAAAGTGACTGTATTAAATTGTGTGCAGATATATGAGTATATATAATATTTTTATATCCATCTATCGGACAAGCATGTTTCTAATTTTGTTAAAGAAATATAAAAATATTCTTTTACTAAGTTTTCGAAAAATCTGCCTCAAATTAGTTGCTTAGAAGAAGCTAGACTGGCTATTAAAATCCTCAGCTATGACCTTTTAAACCTTCCGGAGCACTGCTGATTGGTCAGCTATAATTTTTGGGAAATCTGGAAACTTGAAATACTGTATTTTATTACTATTCTTTATTGTACCATAACTCGGTATTTGTTTGAAAGCAGTTCACTGACACATAATCACTTTTTACTTTGTTAGTTAACTAAAAAATTTATGAGACAGTTAAACATTGAGTAAAGATCTAAACACTGTTGGTGCAATGCATTAGCTTGATTTTCAGTTACCGAACCCTTTGTTCTGAGTCGCTTTTATTCTTTTGTTTCAGCTAACTCTTCGTTATTGTCGACTATTTAAAATTGGTTATGGCATGTGTGTCATGAGTGCACTAACTCATACTTTTTTGTGACTCAATGGTTTACGCGTACGGGTCTCATTGATTTAAACACTACTCGAACTATAATTTACTAAGTTGTATGATTAATATTCACTTAATGTGTAATATTCGCAGCATTACGCATATACCAGGACCAGGTAAATAAGTCTCGAGGTAAAGTGCTTCTAGGTTCAAAAAGAAGCAAGTTAGATGGAACTTCATAGTTTGGAAGTTTTTTTCAGTTCGGTGATATCATTGAAGATCGTTCACATGTGCTGTTGTTGACATTTTTTTCCGGGTTATATGTAATTGACAGTGTTGCTTAAAACTTATTTAAAGAAGTTCATATTGCTTGTTAAGTGTGTTTATGGTAAAGGAGCAGTAGCTGTACAAAGTGTAGCGATGGTTTGACGGCGTATGTATCCAGCTTTCAGCTGTATATGTCGCAGGTTGGAACTCTGTTCTGTATACGTCAGTTTAAGCAGTCGGATAGTATCACCAGCTCTTATACAAACAGTGTTGCTGAAAGCTGAGTACCTGGACTTATACTCGATAAAGACATCAAAATAATTCTGAGAGATTTCTTGTGTCTCATTTGAATTATACCATCAAATGAAAATGTTTGTTTGTAATTTATTACAATAACAGTTTAGTGTAACATCACATTTATGGATTGTTTTTAACTCTCCTGGATAGAAATTCATCTGGTATTGTTTCTGCAATATTGAAAACTATTAAGACATGAGAAGTGCTAACATACTTTATGGAGGCTTAGACTTAGTTTCTATCATAAAGTGGTATCAAGTTACTAATGATTCAAAGTGAAAAAATGAATATTTGTATATTGCCCCTCACTGGTATTCAATATCATATATCAAACTTTCAGTTTATTCATTGAAACCCAATGTTTCTATTTTGTTCTTATAATCTAGTCTCTTCCTTGAAAATCACCCAATGAAAATACGAAATATTTGAGCGAACGGTTTTCAGTAGCTTTGTCAACAGACCGTACAGTTGTGAATCCATAATTATTGTATTACAATGGCCAAAATAAGACATACATAAATACAACAACTGGACGACGTTTTATCCTAAAATAGTGAACTTTTTCGTCGGTTACGACTTAAATATGTCAATTATGTGTCATTTATAGACTGGAAATGTCATTTAAGAAATGAGGGGAGAAATCATTGTAAGGTGTTGATTTACTATCAGTATAATCAGGTAAATCATATGAATAAAATACCTAACAGGAGAAATGTCATACGTCGGGTTTACTGAGATGATAATAAGAAGAATAAGTTGTGTAAATGTTTTATGTAGTAAGATAAATGTTGTCACAGCAATTATTATGAAAAATTCACATAGATTTAGGGTGAATTTGAAAATTTAGAATGGGGCAGAGCAGAGTTACATATGAAGGGAGATTGTGGGGTAACGGTTTATGACTTGTAGCTTATATTTGTGATGACTCGACTGTGGGTTACGTTAGGCAGAGAAGCTGAATGTATCTCCCTTCAATACGTAAGTCTGGGCTTTTTTGGAGTTGAGCTTGATAGCTCCAGCTATTTAAAGCAGCCATAATTTCGCTTCTCAAGTAGACTATTTGAGATTTGGTACAAAACTGTGAGGGCTTCACCTATTTCAATGTGGTTTTGTTAGAAGTTCCATGAATCCTTTTTGCAACCACTCCGGTAAGTTTTCGCGGACATACAATTGGTTTTTCTGTTTTAGTTTTTTCAAGGACAAGACATTTTTGTCGTGAGTGGATTATATGTATTTTACCGATGTAATTTAGTCAAGCTAGGATTTGAATAAATGGACTAAATAAAATTTCCTTCTCGGCCATATTTATTCGGCAGTATTGATAACTATTACCAACATATTTCAAAGTACTCACTAGGTTGATATTGAAGTATAAAAGTGTTATTTAAGTCCATAAGTAGGAATCATCCAAATAAATACCCATTCGTTATAACTATGGTAGGATTGGGAAAAAGCTATCAAATAATTGCTTTATTTTACCTTATACTACTAATGTTTGCTTCAGTAGCGTAGTTGTATTTCCAGATTTCATCCCATACAGAACGTAAAATGTTAAGGAATCCAATCAGGAAAATATAGCACATGAATTTTTTTCAATAGTTCCTGCTAATTATCACTGTCTTTCTGTTAAACTCAGCTAGCAGCTTAGTCTATCGGATAGTTATGTCAGGTTCTACATTGGACTGAGACGATTATTAGCTGCTGATCTTTGATTGGCGTCTGCATCCTGTTTCATTAGATAAATTAAGATTTACTGTGCTACTGATACCTTCAGTTGCAGACGAATTATGACGTGTACCTAAGTTATCTGTTACCATTAAGTAAATGTATAAAAGCTTCATGATTAATATCATAAGTGTGTATATCTCATTTTTGGTATGTATCGAATCCTGTATTAGTAATCTGATAACTGAACTTTAGAATTGAAATTATTAGTACTATCATAAGTTGAGCATTAAATTAGGTTAGTTATGTTGATTGAATACTATGAAATAATGTTTTTCTATCATTTGAATATCACACAATATGGTAACATAAATTATTGACATCACATTGATTAGCCTTTTTCTATAGCTTTATTCCAGCTGCACAGTGACGACCTCTCATTAATTTGTGCTCTAGGCTTTTAACTACATATATTGTGTTAGGATTTACAATAATATTTATTTTTCTCAGTTAAAATGTTTACAGTCTTCTGAATGTAAACTGAATAATAAATCCATCATTTCATTCATAAGTCTCCAAAAACTACTCGCCGAGATGGTTGATTGATTTGTTTGTAGCCACACATATCTTAAGTTTCTTTTGATCAGTTTTGCCTTTGTCATTGAAACTGAACAAATTTTTGCCTTGTTTTTACGGTATCAAATATGGATTAGATAGACGTGTATAACAGTGTAGATCAACGTATCTCAACAATACTAGTCTTAGTAGAACAATAATTGACTCTTAACCGTTTATCTAGTAAAATGTTTTGTAGTACATCAGTTTTTTGATTGGGAGATTAACATCTATCTGTTAGAATTTTTACATTTTCAGTTTTTCCATAGCTCTACTGTTCATGTACTTAAACGTTTTCAAATGAGTTTATAATTAAATCACTTTTCGTATCATAATAAATTGGTAAAATGTTCTTAAGATAATGAACTTTGTTTGTTTATTTCTTCATTTGAAGGCGTATTGGTAATGTATTTCGTGTACCTATTTGATTTTGATCGAAAAAACTTAACATTCTATTATCCTTTAATAGTGGCTATCAGTGAAATTCAAGATGCGTGTTTTATCATATTCGAAACTCATCGTCTGAGTATCTGTATCTTATTATTAATGTTCATACCAAGACTTGAACTTAGTACCTGTCAATTCAAATATCAATTCATTATACACTAAGCTACTGAGTCTAAGTAACAGCTACCTTGATTAGCGGTTGTTTATTTGTATTTAAGGGTTTAAATCTCATTGTTTATATTAAGCACTGTTACTAATCAGTCTCCATAGGCAAATCTGAATCCTGTGCATGGACTGATACAATAATATTGCTGTTAATTGCGCTAAATTTATATAGATGTGCTTAATCACACCATTAAATTTTATTTAATATATTTTAATGTTTCTACTATTCAGTCTAAAAACATCTTACATTTTAGGAAGATATTGTGAATGTAAATGCAATTTTTCATCAACTTTCTGAATTAGTATATGAACAACGCAGTGCTATTGATTCAATTGAAGACAACATCGAAGTAGCATTAGCTAATGAACAGTCTGGTCATTCAGAGCTAGCAAAAGCTGCTAATCGACGAGTAAGTTGAAAAGACAAATAATAATCAGATTTTTTAGAGATTTTGGTATTATTATTTAGAACCTCGTCAAATATTGAAAACTGGATTATTAGTTCTAAAAGGCGTATTATAAATCTGTGTTTTAGTCATATAGATAGTATCAAACTCACCATAGAGAATACTACCAATCAATAGGTATGATTGATTCTCAAGTACTCAAGTTCGTGCATGGTTATTGAATTGTGTTTTGTTATATTACGGAAGATATAATCATAAAACGTTTAGTAATATTCTAAGTAAAGTCGCACACAAATATAGAAATACAGTGTTTATTCAGATTGAAGGAAGGAAATACCAACAACAGGTACTTTCCGTATGTTAAAACTGTGGTACTGTGAATATAAATACATTTAGACTGATGATTTGACAACTTGTAGTTATGGTATTTCCCGTTAAGAAATTCAGTGATTTTAAGACAGTCCAAGTAATCCAAAAAGGTTGACAAACTATAGGAACAAGTAGTAGCGCAAAAATAAAATAATTCAACTCGAGCAAAGACTTCGCTTATAAGATACACACCACTAAACGACTATGACCAGTCTTATGATTGTTTAGGTCATTCTAGCTGGTTTTCAGACAAGTCGAAACGATAGGAATCATAGGGTTTAGAGTATTGTTAATAGTCCTTAGAAATACTGCGACATGTTACTGATGTAGGGAGAGTCGGTGAACAACATATAGATGGGTATAAAAACTCTTAAGCAGTCTGGGTCGTCATACACTATGACTGAAAGTCTGTTATTTGGTAGATTTATACATATCTCTGCTTGTTTGTATTCCCCTCATATGTATAAACAGTATCAGAATAACGTACTCATTTTACAACAAAAGGGTAATCTGGTTGTAGATCAGATATCAACTTGTTTATATATATATATATATATATATATATATATATATATATATATATACTACGAAAATAAAGTGGGCATTTTCTAGTAAATGTTTTTCTGCCTTACACTCCAATCTCTTTATCAAAGTAGTCGCAACTGGAAACTATCTATAATAAGAGTCAGGTAGCATTCATTTAAATCTATCTTTTGTGGTATCTTCTACAAAAAGTGATCGATTTACTACGCCTTTTTGATCTTTTATTTGTAATGAAACATCAATCTTAAAATTATTGATAAATCTATATAATTTTTCAGAACTCAGAAAGAGTAAATTGATGTTTAGTTAAAATGAAATTGAAAGCATACTAACCATAATATGTTCTAAGTATCATAGATACATGAACTGTTCTTTTATAGTGCTTACTGCATTTGTTTTGTTTTACCCATAACCAAGCACAATAGGACGAAACGGCCGTCCAGTGCTTCCATGTTTTCAATGGTAGCCTAATATCAATCGGTTCATGATCTCAATCAAAAAATAAAGTTGATTGATTTTTCGTAAAATAATATTATATATGATAAACAACCGTTTTAAAAAAAATATAATTGTTCATCTGTTTTTTGTTTACTTGTAGCAAAGATCTCGAAGATGTTGTTGCATATTCGTAGCCGTTTTAATCGTGGCTATTTTAATTGTGATAATTATCTTGGTGATTGAATATCCTCCGAAGCGAACTCAGTAACAAAAATACACCGTATGGTTATATATGTTGATATCACGTATATTTTTTCTGTATTATATAACTAACTGAAACAATCATTCTTTGTTAAGTCTTATTCATAATCATGTCATCCGGTTCTATTTATTTAGTTTTCTTTATATATATATATATATATATATATATATATATATATATATATATATTTCTGTATTACTGACCATAATTCCCTTTCCAACATCATATAACTGAATGCTTTACAAATAATAAATGAGAAAATATTCAGAAAACAATTTTTTTTCTTGTAAAGATCATATTTTTTTCCTGTTTTAGTTTCGCTTTTGTTTTGCAAATGATTGGACAAAGATGTTTTATTCTTTTACTCTCACTCACACTATGTTTTCTCTTTTTTATTATTATTGTATGTTTGTATTTATTTAGTACTCGTTTTCTTCACCCTCCTCCCTCTCTCACTCTCTCTTGTTTTATTTCAACATATCTCCATTTGATTTTTTTATATTTTTTTAAATAAATTTAGAAAATTAGAAACAATTAACAAACCGAACTGAATAATTCATCATTAATTTAATAAAATAAAAAGGAGAATGAGTGAAACATCATTTTAAATGATAAAATTAAATATACATATGTATAATTTCATTTTAGTGTTGTTGTTGTTGTTTTTTTTGTTTTGTTTTGTCGAAAATATCTTATACCATATTCTAAGTTATAGATACAACAATAATAAAGACAACAGTAATGGTAAGTATTATTAATAATGGTAATATTATGAAGAAGAATAGTTCGTAAACAGTGATAGTAATTTTCATGATTATTGTCATCACCACCATCATCATTACCATCAATAAAATCATTAGGGTTTTTTTAAAAAGAGAAATGTTGACTTTTCCTGTTGTCCTACTGTTTTGATCGGGTGTGCGGATGTTGGTGCCTATATGTCCTCTTGTTAATTATTAATATATATGTATACGGATTCCCATGGAAGGAGAAAAGAATATGCTTCCATACAATTATGCATATTGATGGTGACATACGTTTGTCTTGCACATTCATGCTCAGTAAGTGTTGAATGTGTGTACATTGTTATGTTTGAATTTCTTTGTGATTTGTATAGTTTTTTTTTCATAAAATATATAGCTTAGTGTTTCTTACTTTGAGGCAAATGAGAGAAAATTTGGAATAACTACATTTACAGAGCGTTTTTGTATTTGTGTACACCCTATTTATTTGTTTGTTTTGATTAAAGGAAGACGAGAGAAATCAGCTCAACAAAATGACTAGACTTCTTCTGTTTCACACACACCCTTTCGCTCTCATCTGATTGTTATCCTTTTTTTCGCAAATTCTATAAAATGTTGAGGTTATTCAATGTTCCCCAAAATATTATTTCAATTAATATTCCCACTGTTTGTTTTTGGCCTGACATATTTACAAATTTTTCCCAGAGACAATATTTATGTTTGTTTTTCGGTTTCTCAATGTTTAAACAAAAAAAACTTTTCTTAGAATTGGTGATCGAGGTATATGAAAGTGGGGCGGGGAGTGATGAATTCGGCTCATGTACATACCCTCAGTGTTGTTATTCCCTAAGTAAAATAATTAAATATATTCTCTTGTTTGCATTTACTTGCACCGATGGGTTTATAATATTAATAAAAAGAAAGTCTCATCCCTTTTTCGTCACTCGACGGAAGCAATCACAAACATACATACACACACTTTTATTTACACATGAAAGTAGTGGCGATGCACCGAGACAGATATACATATATATAATGTAAGATAGGGATCTATTGATCAGCGTTTCAAACAAAAATGTTGATAATGGTCGGTAGTGTCTAAAAAAATAAACCTGTTGCATTCCTTCATTTCTGCAATCCTTTTTTTCCTTATTGTTTAGTCTCTTCTCTATGCACTTATTTGCACTATTTGATCGGATCAAACAAAACTAACAGTACAGTAAGAATTATTATTACTCCCACTAGTAGTAATAGAGTTTGGGTTCTTTGTAGTATCTGTTGTATGTTTTGACTGAATGGATTTCAATGTAATACATTGGTTTGTATTCGATGTTGATGTATTTGTTGATGGTAGTGTCGTTGGTGTAGTATTTTGCTTCAATCTATTTATTTTATTATTTATCAATACTATTTGCTCATGTTGCGGGCGATGTTGTTCTCTTTCTCCATGCTGTATCAGTTTATTAACTGATAGTGGAGACGATTCATATTTCGTGCAGTTTTTCGATTTATGATATTCATTCGTATGATTAGTAGTATTGTTATTTCGATGTTCATTAGAATTCTCACTATTATTATTATTATATTCATTGAATGATAATATTTCTGCTTTTTGTGGAATCAAATTAGTTAAACTAAAAGCTCTTTCTTGGCGTGTAAGTGGTTCTTTCTTGTGAATATGACCAAAGGAATGACATTCATCTGCGATTAGACTATTATTATTGATATTACCTTCAATATCATTGCTGTTACCCTCCTCTTCATCATCCTCGACAACATCATCTCCGTCACCTTTAAAACCTATACATAAGTTCGGTTGTGATGCTTGTAATAAATGTAAGCGCTCCAACATATGCCTTTGATTATTCATATCAAGTAATGGTGTATACTGTCCATTTTTATACTGATGATGATATTGAGGCATTGATCTTTTCATTGCATCATTATTGCTGTTGTTGATAATGTAATTATTATTGTTATTAGTATTTGCAAAATCTGCAGTTATGATTCTATTAAATGATGATATATTTTGTAAATTATGGTGTTGTCTCGTTTGTAACGTTTGGTAAGTATTACCTATTTACAAGTGAAAAAATGTATTAAAAAACTCAATTATTTTAACAAAAAAACAGTTGGAAAAAAAACAACCTCATTGTTGTTACTGTCAATCATTGTACTAGGACTGTGTTTGAGTTTTTTGTGTAATTGTTAATGGCGTAGTGTTAAGAGTATTCAGTTGGTAGCTATTAATTTGTATGTTGAAATTCATAATTCATCCTTTTTTAATTATAAACGTGGATATTATCACCATATCCATAACCGAGTATACGATTGTGTACCTTTTTTTGGTGACTTACATTAAAAATATGATATCAGATTGAATAAAGAGTACTATGACATTTCAAAACATTTTTTTGATAATTGACAAAAACATGTTGATTCAAAAAACAGTTGTCATGATCTGATTGATGCACCTGATTATGGATTTCCTCTTTTTTTGGATAACTGCTGTAACATCAACAGGTAAAAAAGTAGTTCAAACTTGTGATCAATTCTTTAATGTTTTAGTGTTATATCAAAAAATTTTAGATCACGAACGACAGCATTGCACAGTGTTATACAACCGGGTGTATATATCTGACAGATTGAATAGTATGATTTGCTTTTGTCTATTGAGGTATTACATCTTAACTGATTCGTCTAGTAAATATAATAAAGATTGATCACTTATATCCTCAGAAGTAAAATTAATTTTAAACACAATTTACTTCACTAACATTTAGTGCTAAGTTTTAAGACTATTATTTCCTATTAACGTTCTTCATTTAACATTGTTTTTTTTCCATTAATTGTGTTTCACCATCATTACAATCTGAAATAGAGTTTTTTGTATCTACAATCAATTTAATCTAAGTGGGTTTTCTTTTTCTTACCGGTCAATTGTAGTGTCGGTTGCCATGTCAAGCCCATGTAGCGTATTCTGGCTTCCGGATAGGCCGATTTATTCATTCTTCTTGAGTCACATTTTGACCTTGTCAATTATTCACTTTTCAACCTTGATTGTTTTTATGTAAGCGTGTGTGTGCATTTCTTATCTTACTCACCATATGTCTGCAACTTATTTTTTTCTGACTAAATATTGAGTAACGCTTAATTAAAGTGAGCTGGCTCACACGTCGTCTCCATTGCGCGTCGTATTTTGTTTCGCTTTCCGATCGACGATTGCACAAAATATACGTATTCAAAAATTCATTTTCGTATTTGACTTATTTAATTCCATTCTTCACCAGTGCGATTTAAGTGGATAATTGTGTGCAAGGACTGGCGACATGTTTATTTCAATAACGATCAGAAACAATCAACCTGGAGTCAGATACAGGGCCACTAAAATATGTGTATTAACTTGTAATAGTTACTTATTTTTCGAAAAAGCGATATCCACGGAGTCTTGAGACTGTGGTGATAAAATATTCAAAACTACTGGGATGCCAGTGTGTTAAGTTTAAATCAGTTAAATT